ACGTCTTCCGTCTGCGAGAACTGCCACCGCCTCGTAAAGCTTCAAGTTGTACGTGTGGTGTCACAAATCAAATCAACAGGTAGCGAGGAAGGACCACGTCAGAGAAGGAGGTTCACGGCGTTGCACTCGCCCAGCCATTCGCAAGGAATTAAAGAAAATTAAATAAAATGATCTGAAATGAGCCGCTACGCGCGAATCAAGAGGGGTAGGTACAAAGCAGGAGACGTCTTCAGGTCGCAAGAATGCCTTCAAGAGGCGCCCTACGGCCGATGTTGATGAAACGGCAGGAGGGGTGGACGGCGAACCGCCAGCGCCAAGATCGGCCGAGGATGAGGTGGTCCCTTCCATCCACATTACGAAATTAACTCTTTAACTCTGTTCTATTCTTTCTATTTGCTTCGATCTGAACGTTGCGCTTGATCGCTCTTTTGCTTCCGTGGCGCTATGATGGTGTCTTTGTCTTGGAAAACTAGAGACAAACTGCTTGTCTCTAGTTTATCCCTCTAATTATCTGTTCTTTTCATTCCGTTTTTCCACTCCAGTAACCGTTACCAGTTCTACAAATCATGATTTCCCTTTTTTTGAGGTACAGCAAACAAAAAATTTGAAGAAGGCACGGTCATTGTAACTGTGAATTAGGGAAAAATATATTTCCCACAAGATTCTAGTTTTTAGATGGACAATGGCAGCATGTCCCATCACAAATTGTTCAACCTCTTCCCCAACATGCCACACATCACCAACTTATTCTTGCTGTTTTAAGCCCTTTCTTGGCTTAGAAAAACACAATGCACATCTGGCCTCTCAAGAGATTTCACTTGCTCCTCCAGTAAGACAGAGTTCCTCCTTGTGCTACATTCCCCTCCACAGAACACACACACACCACACAACACACACAACACACGCTGAGTTCAGTATGTATCTTTGTTGATACCAGTGGTGTGTTTGTTAGATAAATGTGATAAAATAAATAAGAGATTGTTCTTCTTGCTGGTAAGCTGATCTGGTTTGGCCTGTGCGGATATTTTCTAGAATTGCTGGAGGCCGGCAATGGTGTCATCGAGCTGCTTGATCTTGGCGTCGAGTTGGTTGTAGAGCT